GATTCAAACGCGAGTTTTGAGCAGTGTAGAGTAGCGCTTGTTTGTCGTTTCTCCGATCACAAATGCAGACATGGTTTTATGTAGGGCTGGACAATAATTCAATATCAATATGTATCGCGATATAATTTTTTTCAATAACGGTGATATGATTTTAAAACACATTTCCGATATTACGATATACATTACCAGTGTTTCCCATACATTGATTTATTTGTGGCGTTTGACTTCGGTGAATAAACATGAGCACTTTCACATTTGCACGTTTCAAAATCAAAACGCGGCGCAGGTGTTTTATATGAATGTATCTCTGAAGGGAAAGGACTGTCTTCAGAAAAGTTTCGATAGCATTTTTATTTTATCTGATAAAGAAGCGTTCATGAGCGGAGCTGATTTGATTACAGCCATTAATGGAGAAACCGCTAGTTCTACTGCTCTCAAAGTGCCTCCTGCTGGCGGAGAATCAGTTTGCATTCTTAATAAGCCCTTCTCGAGCAACATGTTTTTGTTGTTGCTCTTTTTTTTTCTGCAGCAACTCAGAGCACTTTTCATACTCTTTATACTGGCTAAAGCACATTTGTTTCAATCTATAAGAATAATCAGCCTACACTACCAGTCAAATGTTTTTGAACAGTAAGATTTTTAATGTTTTTTTTTATTTGTTTAAGGATTCTCTTCTGCTCACCAAGCCTGCATTTATTTGATCCAAAGTACAGCAAAAACAGTAAAATTTTTATATTTTCTATCTGAATATTAGGGGTGCTCCGATCAGGATTTTTGAGGCTAATCGCCGATCACAGAAAGCAGTATCTGCCGATACCGATCACCGATACCGATCTTTTTAAAGCCTTCTTTTTATAATTTATAACTATTTATAGTGATACTCCAATCAGGATTTTTAGACATTTATTCAGGGCCTGAATTTCATTTTTGAAAATGGTTATCACAAACTTACCATTGACAGAAATAGTCAGCTCTACTTCCTTTCCTTTTGCATTGAAATCTTTATTACAAGCAATCCTGCGGTTCATAAAGAACTTTGTTTTCCTACCTCCACGAGTGCCATCTATTATTGCCTTGTTTATCTAAAAGTGCATATGTGTTGACTGTGAAACACAGTAGACTTTAATAATGCATTTATGGTGTAATTATTACATTTTCGTGTCAATCCATGTTCCTATTTACTGCAAAAAATGCGCTGTTACTTTAATTCAGTGCTTGCAGCGCAGCAAAAATAGATTTGTGCAGAAACGGTCTCTGCACTGCTGCAGACACACCGCTCCTGGAACGCACTGCCGGACAGAGACAGAGACTGAGACTGAGACGGTGCCGTGCCAAACCTGGTGGCCTGTTTTTCTGAACTTTCTATTCATCAAAGAAACCTGAAAAAATTATACTCTGCTGTTTCCAACATAATAAATGATTTTTGAGCAGCAAATCAGAATATTAGAATGATTTTTAAAGGATCATGTGACTGGAGTAATGATGCTAAAAATATAGCTTTGAAATCACAGTAATAAATTGCATTTTAAAATATTTTCAAATAGAAAACAGTTATTTTAAATAGTAAAAATATTTCAAAATGTTACTGTTTATGCTGTATTTTGGATGAAATAAATGCAGGCTTGGTGAGCAGAAGAGAATTCTTTAAAAACATTAAAAAAAAAACTTTTGACTGGTAGTGTATGTTAGCCTATAGTTTGAAGTTAAAGATATTAATATTAATTAGGTGAGTCTGAGACAATTAGTTGACAGTGATTTCACATTTCTTGTTTGATTGAAGGCTAAATACAAATAAAAGGTCAGCATTAATTTATTTGTGCTGTTTTTTTTTCTTTCTAAAATATATGGTTTTATATGAGGTGTCGTAGACTTGGCAAATTCATTTTTCATAAGTTTGTATGCACAGACATCTGTTGTGGGCGTTCTTGGCCGTTTTTACAAGGCTTTTTTAGAGTGAAGATTAGTCGCATATGCGAGTGATTTACTCGCAATGTAGAGGGTTGGCGATATCGTCCAGCCCTAGTTTTATGTTTACGCGGCGAGATGCAATGCAACGCGTAAAAAGACATTATTAATCATTATAATCAGTAATTATGTCCCCACTGGATGCAACAAATGCCTCGTTTATATTTTTTAGCAACGTCATATGACCCCTTTAAGTCATAAGACAAGCATTTTAACTTAATTGTGTGCGTATTTGACAAGCACAATAACTTGTGAATAACGCCCGTCTGTGCACGCGTTTCAGGGGCATTAGTAATGCACTGAGCTAGTCCTTTTCAAGCTTAATTGTGCTTAACTAATTTTAACATCAAGCACGTCCCGTGCTTTATTTTCTCATTTATGCATGTTTATTATTCAAGCCCCGTTAACACCGCCAGTGACAAAGAGACAAGATCCCATTCATTTTCAATGGAGAGCTGGTGACTTCCGGCGACATGAGCGACAGATCGTTGGCAACAGAATGTGGGCGTGTCAAGCGATGTAAGTTAGGCCTGTCGCAATAATCGATATACCGACTTATTGCGCTATGTATGTACATGACCTCAATAATTTTTGGTGATGCAATATATCGCCCATTATGTTTACTTAAAAATTAATGTCACCATGTTTTGTACGTTCCACTTGCGCATGTGTCTTTTGCAGCTTCTCGTACATAACGTGTAGTCATGAGGTGCTAGTTCACAAATCAAGTGTCAAAAGTTAAGAATTGTTTAGCTTTATGCAAATGAACAGCGAATTTTGCGACCGACAACCGGTAATGAAGTGTCTGAAAGTGTCTGAGTGAAGAATCTGTCAGTGGTGCTCACTCGTCACCATTTTGAGTGCAGTTCCGTTTTATTTGATTTGACTGTAATAACATGCATGGATATAAAGAAAATTGATGCATAGAAAAAAAACTGTTGGCTGTCTAAGTGAGTTTGATTCATACATTGATGGTTTGTGTTGTTAATTATATGATGCATTTAGCAGTTTAGCACCAGTTTATGATTCAATGCACAAGCACTGTTGCAGTTTATATAACAACACTCTCCAAGAGCAGAATGGTACTTTTATTTCTTTTAAATCTTATTCCTTGTCAATTAGAATATCT